CACTTCTCAGAGCCATGGCGCCCGGGTTCGCTTTCCCAACTGCTCCCTAGCACCTTGGGAAGGAGACAACGGACAGGCAACATGGGCCTGAGGGTTTCAGAGACAGTCGCCCAACCAGCCAGCTCCCAGAGGTGGAACTGGAGCCTGGTTCTCACGACACTGCTGCAGAAACAAAGCAAACCGGTTCTGGGCAGCATTCACAGGAACCCGGTGAGCGAGACACGAGGAGTCATTCTTCCCCCGCTCTGCGCTGCTCAGGCCTCGCCTGGAGCATCGGGTCCTGTTCTGGACACCACACGTCAAGAAAGACGCGGAGAAATTGGAGAAGGCCCAGAGAAGAGCAACAGAGGATGTAAGGTCTAGAGCTGTGCGGGAAGGCGGAAAGAATCGGGTTTCTTTAGTCCGGAAAAGAGAGGACTGAGCGGGGACACGATGGCAACTTTCCACTACCTAACAGGGTGTCACAGGGAGGAGGGAGAAAACTTGTTCCCCTTGGCCTCTGAGGAAGGACAAGAAGCAATGGGCTCAAACTGCAGCAAGGGAGGTTGAGGCTGGACACGAGGAAAACGCCCTGCCTGGCAGGGTTAAGCACTGGGATAAGTCGCTGTGGAGATTTTTAAGAGCAGGTTGGACAGACACCTGGCAGGGATGAGCCAGACGGTGCCGGGTCCTGCCGGGAGGGCAGGGACTGGGCTTGGTGCCTCTTGAGGACCTTCCAGTTGTATGATGCTATGAGATTAAGGCAGTGGCTCTCCGCCAGGGGGTGGCGCACCCTAGGGGTACACAAAGGCCTTCCAGGGGACACCTCATCTCCTCTAGGTACCTGCCTAGTTTCACAGCAGGCTGCATCCGAAGCACCAGAGAAGTGGCGCCAAGGCCCACGACTGGTTTGCGTCGCTGCATGGCCCGTGTTTCTGGCCAGTCGTGTCTCTCGATGGCTCGGCAGTGGCTCTCCGCCAGGGGGTGGCGCACCCTAGGGGTACACAAAGGCCTTCCAGGGGACACCTCATCTCCTCTAGGTACCTGCCTAGTTTCACAGCAGGCTGCATCCGAAGCACCAGAGAAGTGGCGCCAAGGCCCACGACTGGTTTGCGTCGCTGCATGGCCCGTGTTTCTGGCCAGTCGTGTCTCTCGATGGCTCGAGGCAGACGGGCGCGGGCGAGCTCATTCTCGGTGACGCGGGCCGTCCTGCTTCCCGAGTGAAGGGGGCCGCGCGCCACGACGC